GATTCAGAAGCAGAAAAACTCATTTTAGAAGACCACCGCACTATGCTCTTCCAAGCCACTAACTTGGTGCAGGAAGAACAGGTGGAAGAAGAACTATGCAGTAGTATGGAAGAATAGATTATAAGTGATCTTCAGTCAACAGCTTTCAAGGGACAACTTTGTTTTGTTTTAAGTCCATTTAGTGTTTGTGAAAGGTGCTGACAGCCCTAGAGAGTTCTCTTTATCCCCAAAGTATAAAATGAGCAGTAGCTATACAAACTTTCCCACAATACCTCTCTATGTGCCATAATCCTAAACTAGAGCGATCACACATAGTAAGAAAGTATCCCAACACACAGACTCCGACATCTGCTAAAACAAAGGTCAGGGCGGAATTTCCTGTGCCTATCCCCCTCTGCCATGAATTATTAATAACTGGACTGAGATTGCCACGTTATTCACCCAGTCCACCTAACATTCATCTAACTGTATGAACTTTTGGTCATTGTTCACCTGGACTGAATTCAGAGATTTTAATAATAACCGTAACTTTTCTTTTCATGGGAGCTCATGTATGCTTAACAGCACTCTTCTCTATAAGTAACAGTACATTCTATTTCATCCACAGTTTTCTGAGGAAAAAAAATCAAGGTTTTCTAATGCATATTGTCTGTCTCTCTCTCACATCATAAAAGCAGATTTAAAAATAAGAATATTTCCTACAAGTAGCAGAGACAAACGTCGCCATATCTCATTCTACTCAGATGAGCAGTTTCCTGCCCACCTTTTCTTGGACATAATTTTCAAACTAAGCATTCTTGATAGACTTATTAAATCTGGTTACTATACAGAAATAAAACTGATACCACCTGTATCGCTTTTAAGAAGAAATAATCTAAGTAAGTAATAAACAAAACAGCACAACAAGTAGGGATAAAATATCAACAGGAAATAGAAATCTAAAAGGCAGAGAATATCTCTTATATCAGTTTCACAAAATACGAAGGATTAGGATTTATGCTATTATTTATAGTCAAACCTAAAAACCCCAGCTGAGAGGGAGTTTCTATTTTGCTTGATGTTGTCCACACACAGAGTAAGACATAGCCCCTACCACAAAGGGTTTCCTACCTAAATAGTCCGCTAATGGTTTAGTAGTAATAAAATCATTCTAACAGTGAGCCAGAATGGTTCTATAGGAGCCAATTGCCAAGTTACAGTGTTGTGCTCTGCCATGTAGGGAACCCAGTTTGGAATTCTAGTTCTGGTCTCTCCTTACCTTTGCCAGCAAAGCTACCTTGCTCAGGTCTTGGGAGAAGAGGGGGTTTCTCATGCTGTTCTACAAGTGCTTCCTTTGATAGTTAAGGAATGAAACTGATGGCTTACAAAGAAAGTCCTCATCCACACTTGAAAATATGGTCACTGTGGCTACTGAAAGGGAGAGGAGGGGACAGTTCTGGGATAAAGAGAAGGGCCAAGGAATCCTCCAAACATTTCAAGAAAAAAAAGAACAGCACTATTCTATGTAGTCTATGAATGAGAGCAATTGAGATTTTTCTCATTTGATACAACAGTTATCTAGGTCCCAATTCTTTTAAAGTAGGTATTTACTTTGCTAGAACCCTTTGGGTTATACATCATGCTCCAACACAGTGAAAGGACTGAGTTAGTACTACAAGATATGAAAAGCTGCCCTTGGCTTTGTTTTTTGTTTTGGTAAATACTTTTTATTTTATTTTGTTAATATACAGTGCCAGCTAACTATTTTTTGAATAGAAAGTCAAATCACAAAATAAAACGAATATTTACTGGGACCAAGAACTCAGATATTAGTGATCCACAGGCTGTGAACTAGTAACTCTGATGGGAAACCTTTGGGAGATGTTATCAGCGCTGAGTCTATATTCCCAGGTAGTTCAATTGGGGGGGGGGGGGGGGGGGAGATTTGATTAATAGTGTTTTGACCTCGCTAATCTGTGGTCAATAAACTTTTTGTTTTTAAATTTCAGCTCAAATCCTGTAAGAATACTCATTTCAACACCACTCCTCCCTTACCCTAGTGACCGAGTCAGATTTAGAATAGTAGGTATTTGAAAACAAAGAGTATTTGGAGGCACTCAAAACAACATAGAGCAAGACAGAGAGACGTGCAGGATACGGCACCTAACCAATGAGAATACAGGTGAAATGATGGCATAACAATGAGGAAGGGGCAGACAATCATTTGTAGGAAATACTGGTGAAACATGATACACTCACCCACCCACCATAATAAATATTTTATATGTATATAGAATCCCAAAGGATCCTACAGTGCATTCAAACTCACCACTAAGATGCAGCTACATCTGGGATGGAACAGAGCCTTTTTTTAAAAGCACACCACCTACATTAATTCCAGTTCTGCAGTTACTCGTTGGAGTCTGTTTTTGAAGTTTTTTTGCTGAAAAATTGCCACTTTTAAGTCTGTTATTGAGTGTCCAGGAAGACTGAAGTGTTCTCCTACTGGTTGAACTGGAATTAATTTGCAAACTGGACACCATCAAATTAGGCCTGAATAAAGACTGGGAGTAGATGGGTCACTACAAAAACTAATTTTCCCCTGCTGATACTCACACCTTCTTGTTAACTGTTTGAAATGGGCCACCTTGATTACATTGGCCTCATTAGCACTACAAAGGTGATTTCCACTCCTTCTTGTCAACTGTTGAGAATAGCCCACTTCCACCTTAATTGAACTGGCTCATTAGCACTGACCCCTCTGCACTTGGTAAGGCAACTCCCATTTTTTCATATGTTGTGTATGTATACCTCTCTACTGTATTTTCCACTGCATGCATCTGATGAAGTGGGTTTTAGCCCATGAAAGCTTATGCCCAAATAAATTTGTTAGTCTTTAAGGTGCCACAAGGACTCCTCGTTGGTTTTCCTGATACAGACTAACACAGCTACAGCTCTGAAAGAAGTTACCCAGTAACTCAGGTTGGAGTCTGGCCAGTACACAATGGCTAAATAATCATATGCTTCATTGAAAAGGTTATCGGATCTTTAAAGACAAGTGGCTCAGTGATTACTGGTGGCACCTCCACCAACAGAACTGGGATATTGGTTCAGTGCTGACTCACACCACATACTGAATCACCAACACCTCTTCTTATAGGAGCACCTCGATTCTTGATGGACCTCCCATTCAAAAAGCTGGGGCCAATAAGGTCAGTACTACTGTTTTCAAAAATTATAGCTTTACTTCTGGGAAAGGTACTTTCAAATTACTGGACATAGGCGCATCCCAGTGAATAAGCACATTCTCTGGATATTTCTAATAGGACTACCAACAGCTGAATAGTTATCTTAGTTATCACCATTGCATTTGGTTAACGATTAACCACTTAAGATTAAGAGGGGGAAAGTGACATTCTGCCCCTTTTCACTGAGGAGTCTTGACAAGGTAAACCCCTGCTGGCTTGGTGAGTCTGCAGTCAAGATAACTTAAACAATAGCACCAAGAGAGATGTAAACTTTTTTAAAAACAAAAACGTAAATTCTAATAAATTCTGTATAAATCCATGGGAAGACATATGAATGAAATATACAAATGTCTCACCAATGTGAGCTTCTACTATCTTACATCACAAATAAGAGGCATCAGTGAAAATCAGCTGTACATTACTCAACAAATAAGAAATTATGGATTGGTGAAGAGGAAAATCAAATGAAAAAGTTACAGCACCACAGAATAATGAACAGCCCCCAAAACCCATCCACAAATATCACAAAAGGTCCCCACAGTCCATCCACCAATATCACATCAAAATACTGGAAACCCAAATTGTTGTTTTAAATATCTGTTTACTAATACTATTGAATGTGACTAAACAATGACATTTAAATTATAAAAATGTTTTACATATAGGAATTGCCAGACTGAATCAGACCCAAGATCCATCGAGGCAGGTATCCGGCCTCTGACAGCAATCAGTACCAGATGCTTCAAAGGAAGATGTAAGAACCAAACAGTAGGCAAATATGGGATTAGCTGCTCCCCACACACACACACCTTAGATCTCATCCTGATCACTAATAGTTAGAGATTAGCATAAACCTTGAACCATGAGGTTTAATATCCCTCCCAGAGTCATAATTAATAATAATAATAGTAATGGATATCCTTGTTATCCATCCTAGCACTTTTTGAATCTTAGTACATTTTTAGTCTCAGCTCCTTGTGGCAATGAGTTCCACAGTCAAATTACATGTTCTGTGTAAAAGCATTTCCTTTTTTCAATTTTGAATTTGCCACCCTTTAATTTCATTGAATGCCCCTTGTTCCTGTGTTATGAGACAAGGAGAACAAGAGAGCACAAATAATTTCTTACATGCAGATCGGTTTTCTGTCTGAAGAGCAAGAAAGTGTATTCTGTCACATTACTCTCTGTTCACCCTTAGATAATCTCCTTGGGACTGTCCCTGTTCAGTTAGGAGCAGGAACCTGATTTTCAAGCTGTTACCTTCCCTGCCTCCAATGTGCACCTCACCCCGTCTCCAGCCTACTGGTCCAAATTAAAAGTTCTACTTCCTCTGCTTCCACTTCAGTCGGATCGTCCGCAGCTTCTGCTTAACTCAGCAGGGCTTCAACCCACTGCTGGGCTACCAGACCCTCTTCCTGCGGGGGGTTCCAGCCCGGTGCCCGGCTCTTCACTCCCCGGGAAGCCGGTTTCTTCCCTCCTCCAGTATAATCCCAAGGGGCATAATTCACGTTGCCAAGGGCTAGGCTGCCCCTACTTGTGCCCCGCCTCCCCCCCTTGGACAGCGACACACAACAGGCTCCAGTGTCTCCAGGTATTTGTCAGCCCCCAGCCTGCTCCACTACTGATGGCGCGCGTAAGGCTTGGCCCCCACCTCCCCGGGGTGGGCGCGGCCTGGGCCTCTCCGGGGGCCTCTCCCCCAGGGCCCTGCTCCCCCAGCGCCTCCATTGTGGCACGTCCCCCGCCCCGTGCCTTCAGCGGCGGCCCGGCGCTCACCTCCCCGGCAGGGCTGCGGGCCGGGCCGCGGGGCTCGGCGACTCCTCCCGCTGCAGGTAGCGTGCCGGCCCCGGGAGCGGCTCGGCTCGGTTCAGCCCGCCCGCGCCTCCTCGCTCCGGCCTCGGCTCCGCGCTCAGGCTCCGCTCGGGGTCCGCCTCGGTAAGCGTCCCCCCGGCCAGCGCAGCGAGAGGATCCCCCGGGCGGCAACAGGCGCCTCCGCAGCAAAGGTTCCGCGGGGAGGAGAAAGGTTCCCACATCCCAGGGGGCAGGAGAGTTAGCAGCAGGGCCGCGGGGAGGCAGCAGAAACCCCCTGGAGGTTTCTGGGCCTGGTGTCTCAGCGGGGTCCAGCTGAGACTCCTGCCCCGCTCCAGTCCCACAGCCCTTCTCATGGCTGCACCCAAACTTTGCCACAGAAGGGCTGAGTGTCAATCAGGCCTGGAACCAGATGCCATCCCCCACTATGCAGATAAACATCCGTCCCCCACCTTGGACCCACACAGGCCAAATACTCTGATCTCCCTTGGTTGTTTATTAGGAAGTGCTGGCTCCTTAAGTTCACGTTGGACTACAAGTGCCTGTTGCTCAGATCTGGCCTGACCCTGCAGGTTCTGAGACAGCAACTGGCTGCATGTGAGAATTTGACAGGCCTCACGTGCCCAGGGAGTGTCGCATTTTGAATATCCCTGCTCTGTGAAAACAAGTGACCCCATCACATTAGTGCTGGTTCCACAGCCCTGAAGAAGCACTTGACCCCACCACTCAGCTATCATTAGGCATTAAGTCAACCCCTACAATTACTGAAAGGCAAGACAGAAAGGAAACACGCTGCCACTATTCAGAACCGATGTCCATTAAGTGCAGAACTGAGCATAGGCAACTGTGAAATACAACACTTTAATTCCATCTAGGGGCTGGACCTGGTAATGTCAGACTGCTTATTTCTAGCATTACCAATGTTGCATTACATGGCTCCCGTGAACTACTGTGGCTTAGGTGTCCACTGTCCTCAGTTCTCTGAAGTACAGAGCCCCATTGATGTCGCATCCCAGAATTGAGGTTGTCTAGTAAGTAAGTATTGCATTTGCACTGAACCATTGATAAGACTTTATTGTGTTGCTATGGAGTGTGATTGTAGCAAACAGCCAGGTAGTCCTATTATTTAATGAACACCTACTATGTGCCTGTCCCTGTAAAAAATAAACTGGGCCCAAGCTGGAAATCCGAGTAAGCCCACTAGGTTTACTATGGGCCATATTATATAAACTATGCAGTGGGACTGTCTAGTTTGTATCTTGTACAGTACTAAGCTAGGCTTCCACTAAAAGGAAAAAAATAGCAAAATGAACTGCTTGTTCTGGAAATCAAGTTGGCGGCCCCTCCAATATCAATGTATCTCAACCTCTTCTTCCTTTACAGAGGTCACATACATTCCAGAGATGCAGGAGCCAAAGAAGGAGGAAAAGCAGCCTAAGAACAAGGGTCCTCAGACCACAGAAGGGCAGACACAAGAGTGCCTCATAATAGAAATAGTATGTCCCACGAGGCTCTTCAAAAGAATGAATGAGCGGTATTACAAAGAGGCTTTACCCTCTTCCCTGCTAAACACACACAAATCAGAAACAGACCTGTCAAGGATTTATCTCCCATTTTACAGAAATAAGATAGACCCAACACAAAGATGGATTATGGCCCCTCCCCCCTGCACAATGAGATGCAGAGTGGAGCAGTAAGTTAAATGAGACAGGAAAGCCCCAAACAGAAAGGATGGTGAGGAGCTATTACCTTCACAGTGGAAAAACAATATCACATTTTGTACATTTGTTCCACATTCAGTCCTACACTGGCAGATTACTGTATTATGAAGTATGGCCCAGTGGAGGGGTGGCTTTTTCAGGGGGCCATTCTTTTGAAGCATACAGAGATAGGGACAATACACTGATTTCTGTAAAGCCACCTACGGACTGCAGGTAACACTGCAAGGCTATATCCATCATTACTCTCTAAAAATACAAAAAAGGTGGAAAGTGACTGCCCTGTCAGGCTTTCTCCCTACTCACAGCTGCCGAAGCAATATCTTACAGAGTGCTTCATCATAGTCTGATGACAGCAATAGTTGGGAAAGATCTTCCAGAAACAAAGTGTGGGGTTAAGAGAAGAAGGAATCACTGCTTATTTGCTAGTTGTTGTTCAGCCTTTACAGGCAAAAATATAAGGAACAAAACCTGGGACCTGGCAGTGACTACTATAAGGTTGCATACCATTTTCCATTCTAAGCTCCTCTTTTTGCTTGCTCCTGACCTTCACCTTGGGAAGGATGCACTACATGTGCATGTGCAGCTAGCTTCACTTTGCAGTGAACTAATCAGTCACCTAAATAGTAGGCAATGACTTTGCTGTCTACTGGGGAACTGCAAGGAGGAAAGGTGTGGAGAAATTCACCTTTGTAAGCTGCAGGGTAGTTCTACAGCCTGCTACTCCAGCCTAAGTCCTGAAGTATACTCTGTGGCCCTAGCACATGCAGCCCATGCACATGGTTGGGGAGAGGTCCAAAAAGATTTGGGTAGCAATAGATTTTCTCTGGCATTCTCATATTCCAACTACTCACTGATGTGCAGTGGTTCCATGCAGAGATACATTGTTCCATATGGTGGGAACGGAAACTGTACAATGCACTTGCAAAACTTCCCTTTCTATTTGTAGAAATATTCCTTAAAGCAGTTCTTGCTCCATCCAGAGAGCATTCTGGGAGAGTCATCTGTAGGCCAGGGCGCACCCCATTGGCAAGAAAACTCTTCTTGCACTACACTGACTTAATGTTGCAGGATGCACCTAAATACCACTTGATTTTTCCATCCTTGCTTTGCCAAGATGTCAAGGTAGCTGGCACTCGGTGGTGGCAGATGAGAAAATAAATGGAGAGGATACAGGTTCTCATGTAACCCTTCTGCCCGTCAGAGTTGGCAGCAACAAGGGGCGGGTTCAATATCTAGGGGATCCATTCCAATAACACAATGCAAACCGGCTCGAGCCCCCACCCAGTGACCTGGGACAAATATATACCACCCCCGCTGGGCACCTCCAAGAGGCAATACTTCCCCTCTCGCAAGCACCTAGTCTGAATGTAGCAAAAAGCCTTTTAATAACAGAGAGAAACAATGTGGCATTATGTTGGGGAAACAACACCAACAGGATTCATAACACAACCCATGAGCAAAAAACCTACCCCAAGCAAATTGGGGCATGCCCTTTCCCTTTGGTTCTTGAGTCCAGCAACCCCAAATCACCCAAAGTTCCAAAAGTCCAATGACCCAAAAGTCTCTGTCCCTGGTCAGGGCAGCCCCAGAGTTCAAAAGTTTATCTGCAGAGCTTTACCTCCCAACCTGGGTGGAGATGGGGGCAGGGGTAAAAGGCACCTTACATGATCTGAAGTTGACCGCCCCACAGCTCCATAGGCCTTCGCTTCGCTCCGCTCCACTCCACCAGCCACCCCACGAACTGCTTTGCTGAGCTCTGCAGCCCACAAGCAGCTCCCGCCATCCCACGAACTGCTCTGCGTCCCACCAGCAGTTCCCACCGTCCTATAAACTACTCCACCAGCCTGTCCACAAGGCACTCCAGCCATCCCGCAAACTTCTCCACAATATATCTTCAGGCTCCCCCACTACTTAACACAACGCTCAGTGATTTCAGCTCTTAGTCAGTTCAGCTCGTTGGTGAATTCAGGTTGTAGTAGGGGAGCCTCAGTGCTGATGCACCATTAGCCCAAAGTAAGCTCAGCAGCCTGTAACTAGACTCCTAATGAAATCAAAATTAGCTCTGATATTCCACAGTGGAGAGAGGAGGAAGTGCAATTAGCATGTAAGACCCCCACCAAGTATTAATACTTGTCCCCAACCTCTCTCAATTCACAGAGTTTTGGAACCCATGACCCTTGCCTAGTGAGTGCTACTTAGTTGATGGTGAGTCCCTCCATCATAACAAAAGGCCAAGTGTACAGTTCCAAGCCAAGCACAGTTCCCATAATCAGGGTAATAACAATTTATTCTTCCTGCCCCAATAACAGAGACACTGGGGATCCCACAGCAGCCAAAGTGACCATTTGGGCAGCTATGACCTCATTCTAGGCGGAGTGGGTGTGCCTATGCAAATGAGCTCGGCCCCTGAAGTTCTTTTCCACAACTTGCCACACCTCACCACCAGATGTCAGGGTGGAGCTCATCCTGACACTGCTTACACTCATAAAGTGCAATTCATAAGGACACTCTAAAGGAGTGGCTCAGAGTACTGCTCTATGGCGATGGCAGCTGGGAGTCATCAACTTACTCTCCATTTAAAACAACCAATAAATTGCTAACCCCATCACTGGCACAGCCACATTGCGTTCAGTGGGAGCATAAATCACAGCACTCTATTCCTAAAGTATTCTTGTAACACTGTAGGTATTACAGCACAACTCACAGCTGGTGAATTTGTCCCACCAGTGTTTGAGGAAACGGGCTTGACTATTATTATGCCATGAGCAACTACATCCTCACTTGCATGGTGGGCCACTGGGCCTTGTTGAAGTTGTCTGGAGTCTTTGGTTTCTTTCAGGAGTGCAGCCTGCATTCTGCAGCCTTAAGATAGGCTAAATTCCTGCAGTGAAAGCAATGGGAAAATTTTGCCTGTGTAATGTCTACAGGCAGGGTCCAGATGTATACCATAATTATATGGCACTGCAGATGACAGCATAATTTACTGTTTAACCCTGTTGCTGCATCACTCCATTTGCTCTGTTTAAGTCTATACAGATCCTGCTTCCTTCAATACAAAGCTTCTCCACCTACCATTTTGTCTACCTGCCTTCTTCCTCTCTGTCTGTTTCTTTGTTCTGGGGTTCCCCTAGAAGAGGGAATTCAGTTGATTTCCTGTGGCTGCTCCTACACTCCTACCCTTGAAAGGACAGAACAGGAGGCAGCAAAAGGAAGCACATGCCACCCTGACCTGCTCTCATGGGTGGTCGCAACTGAGCTTTAGCAATCCAGACTGTGAGCAAGGGAAGTTTGCAGTGGCTTCTAAGGGTATGTCTACGTTGCAAAAAACTACCTGCAGTGAGAGGCATGAATCTGAGAGCCAAAGCTTCAGCAGGAGCAGGAACGGCTACACTTCCATTTTTAGCA